AGCAGCAGCACCAGCAGTCCGTTGCTTCCCAGTTCTTCAAAGGGTCTATCTGTCTCAGCTGCAGGTACATTACTTCTACAGGCAGCCGCTCCCGAGTTGCTGCTCTTGGCGCTTTGCTACAGCTGCTGCGGCCGCTGCTGCAGCTGCTTGCTGCAGCGCGTCGAGAGCGTGCGGCGCTGCAGCAGCAGCGGGTGCAGCAGCAGGAGGAAGCTGCTACGGGAGCAGCAGATCCATCAGTAGCAGAGCCCCTACAGGATGCTGTTGCTGCTGCTTCAGAAGGCCTCGAGGGTCTGCTGCTGCCCCACGCCGATTCACTGCTGCAGTCCCTCATTGCTTCCGCGGTTCCCCATCCACCGCAGTGTCTGTGCAGCAGCAGCAGCAGCAGCGGCAGTAGCACTGGCGACACGAACGACGCTGACAGCAGCAGCAGCAGCACCAGCAGCAGCATTGACGTGACCACGTCCATGAAGCCTTTGTGTCATGCGCTGCTGCTGCAGTTTTCTGCTGCTGTTGGGGTGCAGCCGCTGCTGCAGCTCTTGCTGCAGAGGCTGCAGCAGCCGCTAGAGCCGCAGGGTGAGCTGCTGCAGCGGCTAGCGGCGACGGATGCAGTAGCAGCAGCAGCAGCAGCAGACGGAGGAAAGCACATGCTTGAGACCGAAGCAGCGCTGTGGCTGCTGCTGCAGCTTCTAGCCAACCCTGAGGCGAAGCAACATATCCCGCCACTGCTAGAAGATGCAGCGGTGCAGCTGCTGCTGCTTCGGCAGCAGCAGAAACAGCAGCAGCAGCAGGAACAGCAGCAGCAGCAGGAACAGCAAAAGGCGTGCAGCACGTGCGGCTGCTCGGGAAGCGCTGCAGCTTGCTGGGCCGCTCGGGCGTCATTTGTTGCTGCTCTCGTAGCATCCCCACCTCCTCCAAGACCAGCAGCAGAAGCAGCAGCAGCAGCAGCAAAACCGGCAGCAGCAACGGCTGCAGCAGCAGAAGGGGACCATCTGTTCCGTCGGCTAGAGCTCGCAGCAGGATGGACAGGTGAACTAGGGAGAGTTCTTATGTCAACGCGCAGCAGCTGCAGCTTCTGCTCCGCTAGCAGCAGCGGGGAGAAGCAGCAGCAGCAGCAGCAGCGGCACTTTGGTTTTTCGCTGCTGCGCCGCATGTCTGTTGCGGTTCTGCAGCTGCTGCTCTCTGTTGAGGCGCTGCTGCAGCGCCAGGTTGTTGCAGCAGAGACTTGCCTAGAGGGCCCAGCAGCAGCAGCTGCTGCTGCAGCAGCCCTTAGCAAGGGCGCTGCTTTGCTGCAGCTGCTGCAGGGACTGCCTCAGGTGTCTCCTGCTGCTGCTGCTTGCTTGCCAGCCAGCTGCTGCTCTGTGCCTTTGCTGCGGGCCTTTCTCTCGATTGTTTGTCTTCTCTCTAGGCTGCTGCAGCTGCTGCAGGACCATTTGCAGCAGCGCGGCGCTTTGGGAGCAGCAGCAGCAACAGCAGCTGCAGCCGAATCAGCAGCAGCAGCAGCAGAAGAGGCAGCTGCAGGGGAAGCACGGCCCATGAGTGCAGCGCAGCTAGCCGAGCTTGCTGCAGCAGCAAGCGAGCAGCTTAGCTGCTGCAGCAAGTGGATCTTGGCACAAGACTTCAGTGCGCGACTGAGCACAGATCCACTTGCTGCTGCTGCTGCTGCCGAGGACGCTGCTGCTGCTGCTTTTGAGGTGTCTAGACACCTTAGTGAGCAGCACACCACAGTTGCTCTGCGGCAGTTTCTCATGGTGACTTCTTTTTGCTGCTGCTTCCCTCGGCAGCTGCCGCTGGCGCCGCCGCAGCAGCTCAAGCACGAGCAGCAGCAGCAGCAGCAGGAATTGAGTGACGATCAGCAGCAGCAGCAGCAGCGGCTGTCACCACTTGATGCCCTTTCGCTGCGAGGCCTGAACGCAGCATTGCAGAAAGAAACGCCGAAGCTGCAGCAGCTCATTCAGCTTCTCCCGGAGTCCCGCTGCAAAACAGACAGAAGCAGCAGCAGCAGCAGCAGAGGCAGCAGCAGCAGCAGCGGAGTATCTTTACTAGTGCTGGCCCTGCTGGAGCACTGCAGCGCCGCAGTTTGTGCAGCAGCTCCTCTAAGCGCTCAAAACATGCAGGAGGCTAGAGATCTGCTGCTGCAGCTGCTGCTGCTGCTGTCTTTGCTCTGCAGCTGCCACCACACGAAGCAGCGAAGCAAGCACGAGGCGGCGGCGCAATCCGGCAGCCGCAGCAGCAGCAGCAGCAGCAGCGTGCCGGAAACTAGCAGAGGCAGCAGCAGCAGCAACAATGCAAGGACCTGCGGCTTGCTGCAGCTCGACACACACAAGTGGGTATACAAGGTGCTGCTGCCGCTGCTGCGGTGTCTTTCAACGTCGCAGCAGCACTCAGAGGAGGCTCTGTCTGCGCTGCTGCAGCTGCTGCTGCTGCTGCTGCAGCACGCCCTTATAGGGGCCCCCAGTGGTCGCATGCAAGAAGCAGCTTGTGAGCGTCGGCGGCATCCTAAGAAGTCCCACGGTGTTGGGGCGTGTATAATGGTGAAAACAGCCAGCAGCAGCAGCAGCAGCAGCAGCACAGCAGCAGCAGCAGCAGCAGCAGCAGCGGCAGTCGGGGCCACGTGCTTAGGGGGCGACCCAGCTGTTGTTGCTGCAGTTGTCAGCTTCCTCTCACAGCAGCAGCTGCTGCTGAGGTCTCTTTTCCAGTGCTTCTCCAGCTGCTTCGCGCTGCCGCTGCCGTGTCTGCTGCTGATGCGGCAGCAGCAGAGCCAGCAGCTGCTGCAGCAGTTGCTGCTGCTCACGCTGCAGCACATTGTTCCAGCAGCAGTTTTGCTTTTGAAGCAAGAGCAGACTACGGCAGCAGCAGCTGTAGCCGCCGTCCCAGCGGCCGTGTCAGCAGCCCCAGCAGCGCCCTCAGCAGCAGCAGCACCTGCAGCAGCAGCACCTGCAGCAGCAGCAGCAGCAGCAGCAAACTCGTGGGCGCACCCCTTGCTGCTTTCAGCCCTACGCTTCCTATTGGCCCTTGCGCGGGTCTCTAGAGGCGAGCTGCTGCAGACAGCAGAAGGGGGCTCTCCGCCTCTTGTTGCTGCATTTCGCCTGCGGCGTGTCCAGGTGCAGCAGCAGCAGCAGCAGCAGCAGCAGCAGCAGAAGCGGGCGAGGGTTGCGAAGCTTCCAAGCGGGGCCTCCTCCACAGCGGCAGCCGCAGCAGCAACAGCGCCAGCAGCAGCAGCCCCCCGTGCATCGTCCGATGCAGCGCCTCGGGCAGCAGCTGGGACCTGTGCAGCAGCAGCAGCAGCAGCAGAAAGGGAGGCAGCAGACGTGGAACTTACAGGGCTGCCAGCGGAGGAGAGAGACACCCTCCAAAGTAAGTTTCAGCGAGTGCTGCGCTGCTGCGCTGCAGCAGCAACACGGTTGCTGCTGCGGCAATGCGACTATTCGTTGCTGCTGCTGCTGAAGACCCACGCCATGCGACAGCTGGGATTACCTGCCGCTGGTGCATGCAGCAAAAGTGTGTTTTTGGCTGCAGCAGATGACAGCAGCAGCGAAGCAGCAGCAGCAGCAGCAGCAGCTGCTGCTGCTGCTGCAGCGCAGGTGCCGGGGGTCAAGGATGAGCCTACAGAAGGAGCAAGCGCATCGCAGCAGAAGCTGCAGTCGCAGCAGCTGCAGCAGCAGCTGCAGCAGCTGCAGCAGCTGCAGCAGCTGCAGCGCATGCAGAAGCAACTTCTCTCCAGCTCACAACGCAGGGCCACATGCGCAGAGCTGCTGCTGCACTGGGCAGCAGCGCTGCTGTGGGGCAACACTGGCTGCCTCCGCTGCAGCGGGATCTCGCCGTGCTCGGGCCATGCTGCAGCAGTGCGTGCTGCAGAGCAGCAGCAGCAGCAGCAGCAGCAGCAACAGGGGCTGCTGCTGCTCCATAATGAGCAGCAAAGGGGGGACGCTTGGGACTGTTCGGGAAGCGCTTGCAGCAGTGGACAGAGGCTTTTCGAGGACCCTTCAGTAGCAGCAGCTGCTGCTGCTGCGAAGCAGCAGCAGCAAGCAGAAAGGCTGTGCTGGCAGCTGCTGGGGACGCTGCTGCTGCCAGCTGCAGCAACAGCAAGGGAAGTGCCCACGGTGCTGGGCGTTGACGAGAATATGATGCAGCAGTTTATCCTGGAAGCAGCAGAAGGCAGCAACAGCAACAGCAACGGCAACAGCACCAGCAGCAGCAGCAACAGCAGCAGCAGCAGTAGCAGCAGCAGTGGCAGCAGCGGCAGCAGCAGCAGCAGCAAACTTCCTACCTGCAGCTTGCAGCCCATCACCTCAGTCCCAGCCTTAGGGCTCTCCAGCTCTTGGAGCATTATTGCTTCTTTGCATTTGCTGCTGGGGGTTTCGCTGCCGGCGGAGGCCACGGCAGTTGCTGCTGCGTGTGCTAGCAGCAGCAGCAGCAGCAGCAGCAGCAGCAGCAACGATGGGGCTGGAGAAGACGCACCAGCAGCACCAGAGGCAGCGTTGGTGAAGACGGACAACAGCAGCAACAGCAACTGCAGCAGCAGCTCCACCTGTTGCTGCTGCTGCATGCAGCCCTTGCGTGAAGACTGCTGCTGCATATCGGGAGGCACTGCAGCTTCTCGCTGCTGCCCTTGGGCGTGGCTGCTTCGCGAGTCGATGCAACCGCAGCAGCAGCAGCAGCAGCAGCAGCAGGCCAGCAGCTGGTGCTGCTCCTGTGCTGCTGTGGTTTGGTATGCGAGGCTGCTGGTCAACACAGCTGCTTCCTACCCTGCAGCAATTAGCTTCCTGTCGAGCTGCAGCAGCTCGCGGGGTGTGCACACAATTCTGGGTCCCTACTGGTTGAGCAGCAACAGCAGCAGCAGCTGCTGCTGCAGCAGCAGCGCCGTGGCCCAGCAGGAAGCAGCTGCGCCCGCTGCGCTGCATGCGCCCCCGTTGCTGCTGCTGCACCCCTTCCAAGAGCTGCTGTGTGCGGCGAGCCAGGAGCAGCATCTGGCAGCCCCTTTGCAGCAGCAGCAGCAGCAGCAGCCTTGGCAGCAACTGCAGCAGCAGGTGTCGCTGCCACTGGCTTCGCAGCAGCAGCAGCAGCTGCAGCTGCATGCACTGCCTACAGCAGCTCTTCCCCCTATAGTGCTGGCCACAGAAGAGCTGGCGCAGCAGCTGCTGTTTATTTGCACAGAGCAGCAGCGGTTGCTGCAGCAGCAAGGCCCTGTGCTGCTCTCGGTGCTGCGGGCCAGGCTGCCGGCTGCTGATTTGCTGCGGCTTGCAGCTGCGCTGCAGCAGCGCGACTGGGCCGAGCAGCAGGCGCTGGACCGGGACACAGCAGCAGCAGCAGCGCGCCTGCCGCAGCAGCAAAGCCTGCTGCTGCAGATTGCTGCAGCGCAGCAAAAGGGAGAGCTGCTGCAGCTGCTGGAGCTGCTGACCCCCCCCACTCCAGTCCCCATTCCTGTGGCTTCCCCTTCTGGGGGCCGGGCCCCCCCTCGCTTAGTGGGCGCAGCAGCTGCAGCAGCAGAAGCAGCAGCAGCAGCAGCTGCTGCTGCTGCTGCTGCTGACGCAGCACCTGCTGAGGTTCTCATAGAAACTGGCGGCAAGGTAAGGGCTGGCAGCAGCGTCAGCTTCGGGGCCAGTAGAACTCGGGCCAAAACTACGCGCCGCAGCGTGAGGCCTGGCCCCAGCTAGCTAGCTAGCTGCGGCTAGCTAGCTAGCTAGCTAGTTGCAGCTAGCTAGCTGTAGCTAGCTAGCCGCGGCTAGCCAGCCACAGCTAGCTCGCTACGGCTAACTAGCCACAGCTAGCTACCTACGGCTGGCTAGGCACAGCTAGCTAGCCACGGCTAGCTAGGTACAGCTAGCTAGCCACGGCTAGCTAGGTACAGCTAGCTAGCCACCTGCCAAGGCCACGCAGCAGCTAAGGGGCTGTTGCTGAAGTGCTCCTGCCCCGCTTTGGGCCGCTATCTATGAGTCTGGTTGCGGAGTAGCTAGCTGCTGGCTAGCTCGCTAGCTACGTGTGACTGGCTAGCTAGCTAGCTAGCTAGCTAGCTAGCTAGCTGGCTCCGAGTGGCCGGCTAGGCAGCTGGCTAGGTGGCTACCTGGGGACTGGCTAGGCAGCTAGCTGGGGAGTGGCTAGCTAGCTAGCCAGGCGCGGGGGGCGGCCGGCAGCAGAACTGAATCTGTTTGAAGTCAAAAAGAGTCACTGCAGCAAATGGAGGTGCAGCACTGCAGCAAGTTGCCCAGCTGCAGCGGCCAGCTGAGCTGTCTGTACACCCCAACTTCCTGGGGCAGTAAAGCACTGAGGCAAAGACAGAGCAGGCAAAGACAAAAATTAGATCTATTAAATGAAGAACAGTAAAAGAGACCCATTGAAGCGAGCTCGTAGCAGCAGGAGCTGCTGCTGCTGCTGCTGCTGATGGGGTGCTGCTGCTGCGTCCGCCGCAGCAGCGGATTCACTTGGCCAGTTGCTCAGCAGCAGCACGCCACGAGCTGCTGCGACTCTGCGCCCGCATTGGGGGCTCTATTGCATCTGCAGCAGCAGCAATCCCTCAGCAGCAGCAGCAGCACACACCGCTGCTGCCCCACAGCAGCAGCAGCAGCGCCACGGCGGGGCCCAATTGATCACTTAAGAATGCTTTTGACACAGCCAGCTTTGCCACCCCTATGCGCAGCAGGCTTACCAGCTGCAGCAGAAGCACAAGCTGGATTCGCCTGCTGCTGCTGCTGCTGCTGCTGCTGTTGCCGCTGCCTCGTGAAACGCCGCAGCAGCAGCAGCAGAACACACCCCTTCGCTGCTTCCAGCAAACGCCAAATGCTGCAGCGAGGTCCCTGTAGAGCCCGTCGGCAGGGGCCACTCTAAACTGCTGCTGCTGCTGCTGCTGCTGCCGCTGCTGCAGCGGCACCAGCTGTCGCCGCTGCAACATTCAGACTAGCTGTTACCAATTTGCTGGCAATTCTTTTGGGCTTTCCAACATGGTTCTAAAGGCGGAGCAAGTTGCTGCTGCTACTGCTGCTGCTGCTGCTGCGACTGTTTGGCCAAAGGCAGCAGCAGCAGCAGAAGACATCCGAAATGTCTCTAGTCCCGCCGCTTCCAAGAACACTTGAAGCCTCTGCAGCACTCATGCTGCTGCTGCTGCTGCTGCTGCTCTGCTGCTGCAGCTTTAGTGCTGCACGGAGCTGTAAAACCAGTCCCGAAAATTCAAATGACTAGTAACGCCGCTGCTGCTGCTGTCGCTGCAGCTGCTGCTGCTGCAGCTGCTGTTGCTGCTGCTGCTGAAACAAAAGCGACACCTCAAATCTCGCCAAAGCCAACGAAAAGGAAAGCGCAGCTCTTCCCCTGCTGCAGCAACAGCAGCAAAAGCTGTTGCTGCTGCTGCTGCTGCTGCAAAGCTACAAGAGAGAGCCGCGAAAAAACGGCGAGCGTCAAACAGATGCCTCCCAAGAGACACCAGCAGCAACTGTTGCTGCTCTTGCTGCTGCTGCTGCTGCTTCGGCAGCAAAATCAGCAGCTGCAAGAAGAGACAAATACTCCAAAACAATAAAAGAACCTCTATTGGCAGCGGCGGCACTGCTGCTGCCGCCGCTGCTGCTGCTACCGCTGCTGCAGCTGCTACGGTCTCCAGTGGACGCGTAGAAAGAGGGCTGCTGCCTATGCCTCGGAAGCTGCTGCTGCTGGTGCTGCTGCAGCTTCAGCAGCAACAAGGTGAGCAGCAGCAAAGCAGCACAGCTACACCGGAACGCGGTGCTTCTTGCTTCTGCTAGATAAGAGAGCAGCAGCTTCTGAAGGTAAATCCCCGAAGTCCTGGTGCATTTCTGTGTCTTCCGGTGTTTGCTGCTGCTGCTGCTGTTGTTGCTGCTGCTGTTGCTTCTGCTGCTGCTGCTGGTGGTCCTGCAAAAATTGTTGCTGCACTTCTCGTAGCTGCAGAACAGCGTCTCGCAGCCTTGCAGTTTCTTCGTCCTGCGGCTGCTGCTGCTGCTGCTGCGGCTGCTGCACCCCGCCAGAAGCGCCAGTGGCAGCAGCAGCAGCAGCAGCTGCTGCTGCT